TCAGGTGCATTCTGCTGATCCTCTTGTGGGTCTACGTCAATCTGCATAGGCTCCACTGCGCCCTGCGACAGAAAATATGGGGTCAAATATGGTTCATTCACATCCCCACAGGAAACAGCTTGCTCAAAGATGGGTTCACAATCAAGACAGATTCCACTTAAACACACATGTAATGGAGAAATGAAGACATTGCTCTTGAAAAATCTTCTCTTTAGGATCTTACCCCACACACAATCCCATTCCTCAGAATTAAAGGCTCCTCCAGAGTGAGAACTGCTCACTACCATTCACACACAACAACACTTTTCCTCTTTCAGTAACTTTTCAAACAAGAAAATGCAAGAGCATGAGAATATTTTCTAAACATGTTGCAGCATCACACAGATGCATGGCATATTCCAAAAGACATCCTGCTGCTCTCTTCTGAGCAGGGTCAGGCAGGTCATCCACTGAGGGACAGCACTACAAATGGGGCTTGGAAATACCCAATGCGCACCCATACACCACACCAGCAACTCTCTGAAACTAATACCTTTCTCTCTGGGATCTTGTTTGTTTGTTTTTTTTAAAAAGTCTCTAGCTGTTCTGGTTCGGGGGTGGGGGCGGGGTGAACCATAAATACCATGAACAAAGTAAGAGCTGCAGACAGGGTCTGCAGAAAACCTGGAACAGTAGCTGTCGGAGGTGTGAACTGCCCCATTCATCTCTATGAAGAATTAACACATGCTTCAGGTAAAGTTTTGTCTACGCACGGAAATTTATTGCTATATAGTTACAATGCCCTGTGTGCAAATTTATTCTGGAATAAGAGTGCCTTTTTCCAGCATAGCATGTCACTTTGAAAGCAACATAAACTATACTGGAAAAAGGCATACTTATTCCAGAATAAGCGTGTCCAGCTGAGGTGTTATACTGATGTAACTATACAGTGGTATAATTATACTGCTATAGTTCTACTTGTCAATTTCCCTGTGTAGACAAGCCCTTGGACTGGAAAGAGTCAAAAGATGCACAGAAGGAATTGCAAGCAACGACCCTTTTTGATGCCATAAATCAGTAGTGCTTTGGAGATAACCACCATATTCCCCCCACCCCATGGTCATATTCAAGCCTCACCCAGGGGACCCAAACTGAAGGATGCCAGCAAAAGCAAAAAGCACCGAGAATCGTATTTTACATAAAAACGGCCACACTGGGTCTGACCAAAAGTCCATCTATCCCAGTGTCCTGTCTTCCAACAAAAAGAAAAAGAGGACTTGTGGTATCTTAGAGACTAACAAATTTATTTGAGCATAAGCTTTCGTGAGCTACAGCTCACTCCATCGGATGCATCAAAAGCTTATGCTCAAATACATTTGTTAGTCTCTAAGGTGCCACAAGTCCTCCTTTTCTTTTTGCGGATACAGACTAACACAGCTGCTACTCTGAAACCTGTCTTCCAACAGTAGCCAATGCCAGGTGCCCCAGAGGCAATGAACAGAACAGATAATCACTTAAGTGATCCATCACCTGTCGCCAGTTCCCAGTTTCTGGCAAACAAACAAACAGGTGCACAATCTACTGCAAGCAAGGTCTGATTTTGGCGATTCACATGGGCAGAGCCTAGCGTACCACCAACTTTTCTTCCCACCAATCTGACCTGACTAGAAATTTATCCCATATTTTCATAGACTCTCCTCTTCCCCAGGAATGAAGGGTAAAAAGTGAAAAAATTTTAAAGGGGGTCAGGGACGTTCCAGAATTCCTAGTTCTAAAAAACCCATTGGTTTTCCCCCATTTGCTCTGACATACTGCACAACTCCAAAGTACACAATGCTGACATGATTTGAGTGACAAGAAGATTGAAGTGAACTCTCCCAAGGCCCAAAGTAAAAGCAAGCCAAGATAAGTTGTGACGAAGTGGGACTGTTCTTAATGTTTCCTCTGAATAGTGTGGGGGTGCCTCAGTTTCCCCTAGGCAGTTCTTAAGTATCTAGGGGGTGGGGTAAGGGTGTATGATCATTGCAGAGCCCTAGAGGGCAGGTGTATGCAGGAGTCTGGACACAGAGAATGGCCGACACCCTGTTTCCTGGCAACTAATGGCCTGGGCCCTTCCCCCCCTGCAAGGTGAGAGCTGAAGGGTTGGAGAACAAAGGAATCAGGTGACCTCCTGGCCCGGGAAAGGAACAAAGCCCAGAGGAGGAGGGGCTGGAGGGGTTTTCAGTTTGGGGCTGGCTGGGACATGGAGTGAAGTGCAGACGTGGTTGTCTGGCTCACTACCCCCCAGAATGGACCCAGCTGAGGGGTCCCGTTCTCTGCACCTGCAAGCTCTGTTTTAGACCATGTTCCTGTCGTCTAATAAACCTTCTGTTTTACTGGCTGGCTGAGAGTCACGTCTGACTGCGAAGTTGGGGGGCAGGACCCTCTGGCTTCCCCAGGAGCCCCGCCTGAGCGGACTCGCTGGGGGAAAGCGCACGGAGGGGCAGAGGATGCTGAATGCTCTGAGGTCAGACCCAGGAAGGTGGAAGCTGTGTGAGCTGTGTGTCCTGAAGACAGGCTGCTCACAGAAAGGCGACTACCCCAGAGTCCTGACTGGCTTCATGGGGAGCAGTTCCAGAGCATCGCGCCCAGGGACTCCGTGACATAAGTATACAGAGGAGTGTTTTTCAGTTGCCATAGAAGAGAGAGACTGCCAGGGATTATATACACCAGTGCTCAGGACAACAATATGTACAAATCAAGCTGGGAAAAGCCTATGTACAGAACCGAAACAGTCCTCTTCCATCACTATAAGGGGCAATACCCTGCATCACCCCCACCCATGAGATTCCTCTTTCCCCTGCTACTCCGAGACAGGGAGAAGTGCCTTTACCACAGTAACTTTGCATTAGGATTCTGAAGAGAATGCACACAATCGGTTGTTGTTCTAAAATTGGTTATTCATTTTTCAGAGAGTCATAGTTTTTGTACAAACATTCACCATCACAGAGTAGTTAAAACTCAATTCACTCTCACTCACTCCCCAAGTTTTTCTGAACCCACATGAGTGCCCTCTTTTTTAAGGTACCTCATAAAGCAGTGTACAAGCTGACAAGCTGGCACTCAAGCTGAAGTCTCCTGCTGTACTCGGAAGGAAGAGGTCTGACCTACTGCTGTGGGGAGTGCAGTATAGATCTGTCACTGATGAAGAAGCTGAGCTGGGAGCTGAGCTATCCCTCATCCTGTCCTGACTCTCTGCACCCCCTCTCCCTGACACAGAACTTGCCGGCTGCTAAAGGGAAGAAAGACAGTTAACTTGCAGAGGGATCCACTGGGCAGTCCCTAGACAGTCCTATGATTAGCATTCCTACTCCCTTTGGGGTTTGAACAGTGGCTTATGGGTTCTTACATTCTTACCTCTTCACTGCAAGCCTTCACTTCCTCTCTACCTGCTGATTTACTGGGCCACATTCCCTTACCTCAGGAACTTACATGTAACTGGCACACAATGAATATTGCTTTAGAAATAAATAGACTTGAAAGAAGCCCAGCAAAGCTGCTATAATTACTGGGAATATTGTCCCTTCCCTCAACATACTTGTTTGCATGTTGTTCATGTAATGAGTGGTATAAGCAAGCTAGATTAATCTCCCTGAATTTTCTGCTAACCAGCTGTTTCAAAAGACCAGGTCCAGCTCTGTTGGCAGGTATGTTCAACTCCTATAGAAAGATCAGCAGTCAGGAGAAGTTTAGCATCATAGTCCAATAAAATAAAAGATAGCTAAAGCATAGTTCTCAGAAAGTAGAATAAAGTAACCAGCAGCTACTGTAACGTACATGTTATATTGCAGAGTGTCGCTAGCAAGAACTATTGTCGTATATAACAGGGGTGGCCAAACTGTAGGAGCCACATGTGGCTTTTACCATTAAAGCGCAGTTCCCCCCCCCCCCCCCGCGTTCTCCACCAAACAGACTGGCAGAAGGGGGAGCTCAGGACCTCTGCCTTGCAGCAGAGCGGTGGGGTAGGGGCTTCTGCCCAGCGGGGAGGGGAGTCTCAGGGGTTTTGCCCCATATGGTGCACCTGCTAGGGCAAGGGGCTTCAACAGGAGTAGGGCTGAAGCTGCCGGGGCAAGCGGCTCCCACAGAGATGAAGCCTCAAGCTCCAGCAGAGGAGCCCCAGCTCTCGAACTTCGGGGGATTGTCATATGGGGCTGGGAAGGTCAGTAAGTTTGCCCCCGCCCCACGTACAGAAAGTCACTAGAATGGGACCAGAATATTCTGCAACTACTTTCATTTGGGGACCGTAGAAGCCAGCAGCTACACATCCTGAAGGGAGACGGCAGGAGGCGAAACAGCTCCAGGAAATATTAGAAGACAGAGTTTTCAACAGGCCGAGCCAATGCATCCCGAGGCAGGGCTGCGAAGGCGCCTGCACCCAAGGGCCACGGTGAAACACAGCCGCGAGCCACCGGCCAAGCCGAACAGCTCCGGGCGGCGGCCCCGCGCTCCCCCGCCGGAGAGCCGCCCCAGGCCAGGCCGCGCCGCGGGCCCCTGAGGACGGAACAGGCGGCGGCCCAGGCCTGCAGGCGCCTCTCGCGCAGAGCCCCGGGAGCGAGCGCTCCCCGCCGCGGGCCCCAGCGGCCGCCGCACGGACACCGCGGGCCCGCCCGAGCCGGGCAAGGGGCCGCGCCGCCGGCACCAATGTTTACCCCTCGCCGCCGCCCCGGAGCGTCCCAGGCCGGGGGGCTCGGAGCGGATCCCGGGGGGCCGGGCCGGGCCCGCGCCACAGGACAGCGAGCGGCAGCGCGGCCCCCGCAACCCCGACCCAGCCCTCGGGGGACTTTTTACCTGTAAATTAAAGACCTGGACGGGCAGCGGCATCCTCCCCTCAGAGCCTTCACTTCCGGGTCACGCCTGCTCCGGCCTTCCGGTTAACGTTCACTTCCGGGTCACACAGCCCAGCCTGGGCTCCGGCAGGTGAAGCCCTTAAAGGGCCCGCGGCCCCTCTGCCGCTCGGGAGCTTTCGGACTCCGAGCCGGCCGACGGGGGGAGGAAGGGCGGGGGGGGACACCCCTCCCTGCGGAGAGCGCGGCGGGCAGCTGCTGGGAGAAGCCACGGTCTGGCCGGAGTGACCACCGGGGTGTCCCGAAGCCTGCAGTGCCCCCCTGGGTACCCACGAGACCCACCGAGCGCGGTGCCCCCCGGGCCGTCCCCCGCCCAACGTGAAGTGCCCCCCCGCCCAGGATATTCCCCCACCCCGTGTGATCCCCCACCCGCGGTGCCCCCGGGACATCCCCCACCCAACGTGCAGTGCCCCCCACCCCCACGTCCACCTGAGCCCGCAGCGCCTTCTCCAGGACGCTGAGGGTGACCCCCGCCCCGCGTCATCCCCCACGCGCGGTGCCCCCGGGACATCCCCCGCCCCGCGTCATCCCCCACGCGCGGTGCCCCCGGGACATCCCCCGCCCCGCGTCATCCCCCACGCGCGGTGCCCCCGGGACACCCCCCGCCCCGCGTCATCCCCCACGCGCGGTGCCCCCGGGACATCCCCCGCCCCGCGTCATCCCCCACGCGCGGTGCCCCCGGGACATCCCCCGCCCCGCGTCATCCCCCACGCGCGGTGCCCCCGGGACACCCCCCGCCCCGCGTCATCCCCCACGCGCGGTGCCCCCGGGACATCCCCCACCCAACGTGCAGTGCCCCCCACCCCCACGTCCACCTGAGCCCGCAGCGCCTTCTCCAGGACGCTGAGGGTGACCCCCGCCCCGCGTCATCCCCCACGCGCGGTGCACCCGGGACATCCCCCGCCCCGCGTCATCCCCCACGCGCGGTGCCCCCGGGACACCCCCCGCCCCGCGTCATCCCCCACGCGCGGTGCCCCCGGGACACCCCCCGCCCCGCGTCATCCCCCACGCGCGGTGCCCCCGGGACATCCCCCACCCAACGTGCAGTGCCCCCCACCCCCACGTCCACCTGAGCCCGCAGCGCCTTCTCCAGGACGCTGAGGGTGACCCGCATTACTGTTCCATGTTCTGTCTGTCTGGGTGCTTGCTGTGCCCATCCTGGACAGCGAGAGCACGGGGAGCACCCTGCAATGCACAGGCCAGCGCCGCAGCCCCGAGGAGCCCATGGGTTCTCTGGGACACAGATCTGACCTGACAGAAGAGGACGCTTGTGCCAAGGCAAATGTCCCAAGCCACCCAAACAGATGAAAGGTAAAATGCATCCAGCTCAGCCTCTTCTGTAATATTTATAGATCAAGCAAAAAGTGAAACAAAAAGATTGACACAACCTGAATGTGTTTAATATGGGGGTTGACACTTTTGGGGAAGTCCCAGGTTGGCATAACAACAAGCTGAAGTATTATAGAAATAGAAGAAAAGTGGAGGAAAACAGTTTCTAGTTGGAATCACTGTATGTGTGTTTTAATTGAGTAATTTTAATGAGGAAAGGTTGCTGCACCTTTCTGGATGGTGCTTTTCCAGGGTCACTCGACAACTTGTTTAGGAGCCTGTGGACAGAACAGTTTGCTGGTGAAGAACAAGGTTTACAGTCATGGCTGTTGCCACCTGCTTGGAGCTCTAACATAGACCCTGAAAAAGAGGAAATCGGTGACCTCAGCACCTACATCTGGTTCTGCTGAATCCTGAACTCCACATGGGATGTGAAACAGAACTGCCTATGACCACACCATTTCTTGGGTGACATCTTCCTTCTTCTTCTTTTTTCTTTCCTATCATTTCCTACTGGTCTTCTATCTAATCACAGTCTGGTTTAGCCAGCCAAGACAAATCCATCTTTTGCAACACTGTTGTAATAAAAAGGCAAGCTGTAAACAATGGTTTTAGCCCAACTAGTAAAAGTTTGCTAAATCTGAGCGTCTAATAAGACCGCATGACTATAACTTTGCAGCAACTGATTTACACACAGAAAACTCCACTGAATAGAAGGTGCTCTTTCTACCTTTGCTAGTTTTTCTTTCTCCCTTCATCTGTGTTTTGTCTTGAAGGAAACAGCAACAGCTTTAAGTGAAGACTGGATGTCTTTCTGAAAGATGTGCTATGGCTCAAATAAAAGCTATGATCTTGATGCAGAGATTAGTAGGTGTGGTTCTTGTGCCTGTGTGCAGATCAGACTAGACGCAGAGGATTATCATGGTTCCTTCTGGCCTTAAAATGTTTGACTGGGAACAAGTCAAGACAGTCTAAACTATTTTTTTCACTTGTCCCCAACGTGGACAGTTAAAATCATCTTTAATACCACTTAAAAAGAAGATCAAACAAGGGACTTCCCCCTTTTAAACTATACAAAGAAAGAGAATAAGGGAAGTTCTTTAAATACAGATTTTACTTAGCTCCTTAAATTTCAAATGCTTTAACTGTTTTTCCTTTTTCTGTGTGTTTAATAAAAAGTTAAGTTTTTAATGGCAGCTGTTACAGTGGAAGTGAATAATAACTTGATAAAAGCCCCCAAAACACAATTAATGGTCTACTGTTGTAGCAACAAGCAAGGGATTTGAAACAAGGTCAGGGAGCGACAGAGATACAATTATCAATACAGCAGTACCTATAACTGAGAATTGGTGTTGGTGTTCGTATGACTGGGGTAGTGCTGAGGCTATGGTGACTAGGGACAGCAATGTATGTGCACTGGGGAAAGGATGGCTAGAGAAAAAGAAGTGTCTTGAGGTAGGATGTAAAAGAGGAAAGTGAGGTTTCATGGGGCAGAGGCAAGTAGATGTTCCAGGCATAGAACACACCTAGCTCTGTTGGTTCAGTGGTTTGTAAACAAAATTATACCAAGACTGTGTTGCAAGTCTGTCTCACAGATCCCTCAACCTCTCTTATTCTCTCCTGCAGAGCTGTGATCCATTCTATGTGACGTAATGTCCCAACTGTGCAACATGGCAGGGGCCCTGGGGGCTGAAGAATGACACTTTCCTGCATTGGACTCAATAAGATCTGCTTCCTGCTGTCCGTGACCTTCTGTGCTTTCCTTCTCCTGCTAATCCCCAAATTCCAGACTAACTGGAGACATAGGGGATATCCACAACCCCGTCCACCACCTCCTTTTAATGCTTCCTGCAAAAGTGAGTTCCACCACCATCAGGCAGATCCCAGCTCAACAGACAATTTGGACAGTGAGGGAACTGATAATGCACACAGTGTGAAAGATGAAACTGTAGAAAAATGGGGGGATTACAGCCTACATGCTGGGGGAGCCAGCCTGAAACTTGAGGAGCAGGATGGGAGCCCTACCAGTTCTCTTCACACTATGTTGAAGGACCACCATGGACCTGCAGGTGATTCCATTAAGGAGAATTTGGAGCTGAAGGATATTTTTATTGCTGTGAAAACGACAAGAAAGTATCATAAAACTAGGCTGGACTTGCTCTTCCAAACCTGGATTTCGCAGGCCAAAAGACAGGTGAGAGAGCTTCCTCACAGGGATAGGACAGTTATAGTGGGAAACCCCCTCTCTGTGACTGCAGGTTCAAGATCTGCCATAATCCCACTGCCCTCCATGGTCATGCTGCAATTTCACTCTGTGTATTCCCTACCAGTTCATTAAACCTGTTCTTCCTGCAGGATTAGGAACTGAGTTTCTGTAAATAGTCCATCGGACCAAAAGCCTAAAATGAGCTGCTACTGGATGGTAGAACATTAGTCTGGATGCACAATCTGTCTTCTTGCAGCCTGGGGTCTGTAACTTGTGCAGGAGTGTTCTTGGGATTGATATATGCTTGGATTATTATAACCTTGCGTGTGACTAATAAAACTTTCAAGGCAGACTCTGTTGAGCTTGAAACTAGCAACCAGAGCGGAATCCACAGTGGTGTAAGATAGCATCCCTAAATTCACTTAAAATAAAAGGCTACAGGTCACAGGTCCAGAGAGAAGCTGCAGCTGGAGAAAATGTGCCAAGCTTGGAGGGAGCCATTGCATAGTCATCCACAATTCCTGATGCTAGTGCTGATGTGTCTGAGCCAATAGTTTCAGACTATACGCTCCTCAGTACAGTGACTGGGTCTTCGTATGAGATGTAGCACAGAATCTGTCCCTTAACGTAGAAGTTTCAATGCATTTGTGGAGATTAATAAAATCCTATCCAGATGTTATGAGTCTTCTCCATCTGTCTGGGGCAGGATATTGCTACCAACTGGATCTTTTCACCCTTACTTTCATTCTTCCCCAGAATTCTGTTGATTTCTCTAGGCCCACTGACTATCTGGGGAAATATCCAGTCAAGCGGGTGTGCTATCTTTTAGGATGGGGTGGAAGAGGAGATTGCAGAGGAAGAAAATTCTGAAAAACAGCTTATTCCTGAACTTGGGATGCCTCAGCCCTGCCCTGAGACAGGAGGGTACTTCTGTCTTGGATTCTCTGCTGAAATTGCCAGTGAGGGATCAGTGAATACCGAATATGCTGGTGGTTTTTGTGATGTAGAAACCAATCCAATAGGCAACGGACCAAGTTAACACCAGTTCTTTTCACAATGGCCACTGAAAAATAACTAGATAAATTACTGGCAGTTCTAACTGGGGACTGGGTGAAGCTAAAATTAATCTGTCCATTTCTGAAATCTTTGGAAAGGGAAGCCCCTTTTTTCCTAATGTCTTTGTGTCTCCCACAGACGTTTATATTCACAGATTGGGAGGACCGTGAACTGCGCCTAAGAGCAGGTAAGCCATGTAGTTCAAATGCACACTTGGTCTTTTGACTATGGATGCTGACTTGCTGCCATCCTCTCCCTCGAGGGACCTCATTCTGTGCTGTGCGTGTGATTGATGTTTTCTTCTTTCCTAATTTGGATTTGTAGGAACTTCATCATTCACTGGGTTAATCTTCACATTCACTTTTTTCCTTTCTGTTTGTAAGTTTCAGTGTAACTGTTTGACGGTTAATGTTCACAATCCCCCTTGTGCACTGTCCCTGTACATGATTCACTTTCCCTGCGGTCTAGCTCCATATTCACGTGCTCTTCACCCTATGTGCTACATGCTCACTCTCTAAGCACCACACACCCTACATGCAGCTCTCTACATGTGTATTGCATGTGCACCATGTCCATGTTTCAGGTTTGTGCTCAAGATGTGCACATGCTCTCTCTCCCAGATTATGCATTCACCCCAATCTTGACCATTTTGACCTTCATTTTCTTAGGAGATCACATGATCAACACCAACTGCTCTGCTGTTCACACCCGCCAGGCACTCTGCTGCAAGATGTCTGTGGAATACGATAAATTCCTCGAATCTGGGAGAAAGTATGTGAGACTCATTGTTCCAACTATAGCTTTGTTCACTCCAATGCGGAGTTCAAGGGAAGTCCCAACATTCTTCTTTCTAATTCCAGTAGTGAGTGAGCATGATCCAGGCTGTGATCCCAGAGGGTGGTGGTGATGAGCATAGGGAAGGGGTAGCAGCAGGAAGAGAAGCACTTATACACAAGAGTCAGGTGAAAGGCTATAGGGAAGAAGAGCTCACAAGCGGGCTACTGACTTCAACCTCTCTCCTAGAGTTGGGAAGTATTGGCAACTTTGGCTTCTAACTTCTGCGTTTTCAGTCTGAGGGCTTCTTTTTTCCAGTCGCTTTATCCCAAATCTGAGAGACTAAGATCTTCACTGGAGAGAACTCAGTACATAGAAACTTTACATCGCTTCCTCAGTGCCTCGGCTGAGTGACTGTGTCTGCCCTGCTTTGTCCACAGATGGTTTTGCCATGTGGATGATGACAACTATGTGAATCCACAGAATCTCCTGCGTCTCTTGTCTGCCTTCTCACACAGCCAGGATGTATATGTGGGGAGGCCAAGCCTGGACCACCCCATTGAGGCAGCTGACCATGTCCGGAGTGATGGATCAGTAAGCATGCTCTGTAACTGTCCATTCTATCCCCCTCCCCCCGCCTCCGAGCTGTTAAGAAGGCGAACAGTTCACAACATCCCATGTACAAAACCTCTGAGTTAATTTGCAATTTACAAATGGTCTTGTGAGCTGAACAGGGATTCTTCTCCCTTTACGGGTCGCTGGGGGAGAACAGGCTCTCCCTACTTCAACCTTTGGGCGTGAGGAATGCTCCCTTAGCACCCCTCAGCCAGGTCAGTTTCTTCAGGTATCTCCACTCAGTTCTGGGAGCTACCATCTTGATCCTCCTTTACTTATGATTATTAATCATGTTTTTACAGTAATGCCTAAATACCAACCAAGAATAGGTTTCAGAGTAGCAGCCGTGTTAGTCTGTATTCGCAAAAAGAAAAGGAGTACTTGTGGCACCTTAGAGACTAACATTTATTTGAGCATAAGCTTTCCTGAACTACAGCTCACTTCATTGGATGCATTCAGTGGAAAAACTGAATTTCCACTGAATGCATCCAATGAAGTGAGCTGTAGCTCACGAAAGCTTATGCTCAAATAAATTTGTTAGTCTCTAAGGTGCCACAAGTACTCCTTTTCTTTTAACCAAGAATAGGACTCCATTGTATTAGGCACTGTACAAACACAGCAGTAGTAGCCAGTCCCTGCCCCCAAAGACCTTACAATCAAAACAGACAAGACAGACAGAGGGAAGGGGAAGGGGTAGAACACAGAAGTAGAGTGAACAATGTGATGGCAGCAAACATCATGTTAGTTCCATAGCTTTTGGTGGAGGGAGGTAGTTAGGAGGGGATCTGTGAAATTGAAATAAAGGTGAAGGGAAAGGGGACACTGAAGGGCAGGGAAGAGGAAGGGAACAAGACACGGGAGAAGAGGGTAAGAGGGACAAGTGTGGTATGAAGCTAATGTGAGGAGATTAAGGGAGAAGCGAGGAGGGAGAGGGCCGGAGCAGACAGCCAATCAGTATAGGCAGGAAAAGTCCAGTCAAAACTGTAGAGTCCTCTGAATGTCAGGCTTTCTCTTCTAGAAAGTAACATCCCAGTACTTCGTCTGCTGCCATCCTGAGCTAACCTCCGGGGATTATACCAACGCTCTGTGACTTGGCTGGGAATGGTCACTTCCAGTATTGAGCAGTCATTTCCCTGGAGCCCCAGTGTGTCTCAGTCACAAGATACATGAGCATCTCTATCTTGGGCAGCTGCAAGGTGATAAGAGTTGCCTGATGAGAGAATGTCTAGCTTCCAGGAGTTCAAAGAGGCAGGGGTAGCCCAAAGTCCAGATATTTGCTCAGAGAATGTGTCCAATGTGCTGCAGAGCAGAAGATCGTTTTCCCTACCCAGGCAGATGGGAAAAGCTGAGTATCATTAACAAGTCTCTTTTTTTCTTGTTGCTTTTGCTGTTCACTAGACAACTGTGAAGTTCTGGTTTGCCACAGGTGGAGCAGGGTTCTGTGTCAGCAGGGGCCTTGCCCTGAAGATGAGTCCCTGGGCCAGGTAAATGCACCTCTGTAGCAGAGACCCCATGGCTTTGATAGGATTAAGGGTGCATTTGACTCTCCATCTCCATCCTCTCTCCTGACAGCTTGGGTAACTTCATCAGCACTGCAGAGAGGGTCCGTCTTCCTGATGACTGCACCATCGGTTACATCATCGAGGGGCTGCTAGAAGTGAAGCTGCTGCACAGCCCCTTGTTCCATTCCCATCTGGAGAATCTGCAGCGACTACAAGGCGAGACAGTGCTGCAGCAGGTAAGGGTAAGCCTCATGCCTTGCTCAAAGCAGGCCCTGGCCTTTGAGATGCTCCTCAGTCTGATCAAAAGAAACCATCTCTGCAGGTGCAGCTACCTTCTCCCTGGTTTCCAGGAAAGGCAGATGGTATCAGGCCTGTAATCTCACCATTACTCCAAGCTGCTTATGTAGTTGACCAGGGCAGTCCCATGTCCACCACCTGCATTTGGATAACAGGCACATTTCCATCCTGGCCAGCTGGGTCACCTTTAGTTCTCCCCTTCTCTGACTGTCCCTTCCAGCCCCAAGCATGCTGTTACCTTACCACCTCTGTCTTCTTCCTTTCCATTCCTGAGGCACACGAATGTACACTACACCTATGAAAGCAAGAGATGTGCATTTTTTTCTGGCAAAGTGATTCAGCCTCAGCTTTAATTCATACCAGTAATGGGGACATCATTAAATGTCTGTCTGATCATATATTAAATTATATGGACTCTCTTAAGAGAGTGACTTGTCTGCATATCAAGTGTTAAGTTGCTAAAGAGGTTTCTTCAGTATTGGTTGTGAGTATTGAAATAATTACTTCTACAGCATCTTCTTTGATGGACAATAGGTGGTGCTGTAAAGTGCCTCAAACTAAAATTCCTCCTCTACTTATCTACGTACGCCCTAAACAAGAACACAGTTGCCCACCCACAGAACACTCATTTGAATTGTTCTAACAGTTTTATTAGGCAAACACAGTCAGGGCCACATTCAGGTCTGCTGTAATCACACCAGAAGTAAGCTGTGATGAATCTTGCCCTCCCTTTGTGATTGCCCTTTCTCCTGAGACTAACTTTAACAGCTAATCAGAAAATCTTGTTGTTCGTAAAGATTATCAGAAAACTGAACTCCTAGGTTTTAGACTTAGGAAATGTGTAATGCAGCCTCAGTATGGAAGAATGGTTTTATTGTTAAGACACTGGACTCAGGCTTCAGAGATTTGTTGCCAGCTCTGCCATACTCACAGTGTGATCCTGCACAAGTCATTTAACTTCTCTGTGCCTCCATTTTCCCACTGTGTAAAATGAGGATAATATGACTGATCTAACAGGAGTGTCTGTGAGGATGAATTTATTACTGTTTTGTTAGGCATTCAGACATTATGGTAATGGATGCCACTCTAAAGCTTACACATATAGTTGGTTAGGTGGTATCTTCTCCTCCAAGGCTGCTTATCTAAGCTTTTCTTGTCTCCCTCACTCTGATTTCTTCTTCCTGTTCTGCTTTGGATGGTCAGCAGGTTCTCTCAAAAGGCTTCTATCCTAAGTGAACCATTATGACAATCACCTTTTATGTGTAACTTCTGACACCCAGAGCACCTAGGACATCTCTTTCCCTTTAGATCCTCCTCCTTATCCCTCATTAAGACCTCTTCCACTCAGTCACTCTCCGTTATGTTTCAGGTTCTGACTTTACATTTGCTTTTTCAGGTCACCCTGAGTTATGGGGGCCCTGAGAACAAACACAATGTTGTGAGTGTGGCAGGAGTGTTTGGCTTGCAGCAAGATCCAACCCGGTGAGTACCTGCTTCCAAAACAAATTCCGCTTGCTCTGTCCATACCTACAGACTCCAGAAAACTCAAGCACACAGGCTGGGTCAGCATTTCTTGTATTGCCTCCACACTCCAATTGGGTTATGGCCAATTTCCCTGCAGTTTTGGGACGTATGAACGTTCCAAGAGTTTTAGTTGATGTGTCCCCAAACTGATGAACTCATATCTCATGTTGTCTTCTCATCTTTCTCTTTTCACAGATTCAGATCTGTCCATTGTCTTCTCTACCCTGACACTACCTGGTGTCCCACTAAAAATATACTGTGACCTCAGACCTAACCTTGACATTTGGTATCTTACCTGCACAAGATTGGACAGGATGCTTTTCTTGGAGATGAACAAGAAAAATCTACAAAAGTAAGATCCCCCGATCACTTCATTCCCATGGCAGGAGTGTGAGCCTCATCAGCTGCTGTCTGAAATATCCCAAGGAAGAAACTCTCTTACGCTTTGCTCTCTGATCTTGCAGCTTTTCTTATAATGTCTCGAAGGTTAAGCGCCCCCTCCTACTTCCTGTCTGGTTTTATCCATGCTTTGCTAGTTAAAAGCCCTGTGGCTATCACATGTATGTTTGTACCTTAAAATTAGAGTGGAATGCAGTGCCTGGAATCATAGCACTGGAACTAGTGTTCTGAATAGGGCTTCTAGGGATCAGTCTTTGTGCTGCTGAGATGCCAGGGCAGAATGTAGAGCCCATGGTGGGGAGCGAGGGATTTTTAATTTGGCTCCCTTGGAAGCAGAATGATTCAGGAACAACTTGTTATTTTTTCTTCTCCCAATGTCTGAGCTGTGTGGGAATTTAGCTGAAACATCTGCACTTCCAGTGAGGCAGAGATGTGTTTACCAAGAACAAAATTATGCCAGTCTGCCCTGCATGACAGGCTGAGGACCACATCAGAACCTCTTAAGCATATGTTCTCTCCTTTAGCCCCCCTGGTCTCTTGAGTCTGGCTTCCATGAGGAGAGCACACTTGGATCTCTTTCTGGTTGGAAGATGGTGGTGGTTTTCCATGATGGGCTACAGATCCAAAGGTGCTTGGTCTTGGCTCATACTATTTCCTGGCAGTTTGATACTGAGAGAGATGTTTGTGGGAATACTATTAGGTCCCTCCTCCCAGTGTAATCCACAGCATGGTGCCTGGTTGGCATCTGATCCTGGGTCGCTAAAACAGCCTGCAGCCTCCTTCCTGCTTCTGCAGTCTTGCTGGATCCCAAAGCCTATGTGGGAGGAGAAACCTGGGTTAGCTGCAGTGCCCTCAGGTGCTGTCATCTGCGGCCTTTGACTGGACTTGTGTGATCACCCAGGCCAGTTACATAAATGGACCTTTGAGCTCCAGGCCTGGGGAAGATCTGTGTTCACTTTTCCTCCGCAAGCCAGCCAGGAAGAGGTGCGCTAGAAGAAAGGCCTGCACACTCCCTCCAAATGCGGGGCTCAGCCCCTTGTCTGCAGAGCTTCTGCTGTAGGATTTACCAGTGCTCTGCAAAGGAAAAGGAGTTTGGTTTTGGCGTGGGGAAAGAAGGGACTCCAAAAGTCTGTTGTTTTTCTCTTAGTCCACACTGAGGCTTGCACACTCCATTGCTGGCATGGTTAGGAAGAGCAGTGTCAAAAATTACTTTGCAAGACCCTCCCTTAGTCTCATGGGCCTTTCACAGGCTCTTCACTGGTTCCTGGTCCTAATGACTAACACTGAAATGGGGGGGAAAGCAGCAGAATTACATATTGGCAAATTGTAATTCCAAGCACTGTGACCTGAGCATGGAGCTGTCAGGAAGGAACTCTTGGTTTCTAATTCTGTCTCTGCCACCAATGCACTGTGTGGCCGTGGTTGAGTCATGTGACCTCTCTCATTTGTAAAGTGGGTAGAGTGTATAGGCACACCTCTCAGGTATGCAGTCATGAGGCTTCATGGAGTCGTGTAACTCTTTCTGAAGAGGATTATTCCCATCTCTCCCTAACAAAGACCCTTTAGGGTTTAGCCATGCGTGTTTTGCTGCTTTCTAGAGAGACTAATTCTACTGAGGGATAAGGTCCCGGCCTTCTAGCTGTCACAATCCTGAATCTGTCTCTCTGACTTCTCAGATGTTGTGACCCTTCTTTGCCCTCCTTCATGCTTCCTGATGTGGCACTAACTCCATTCTTTGGCCAAGAGGCCAGGCTGGGAACACTGGAATTGCCAGACTGCATCGGCTCAGTGGTCCATCTAGCCCAGCCTCCTTTCTCAGACAGTGGCCAGAACCAAATGCTACAGGAGATGCCATAATGCGGAATAATCGGTCTGCACCTTAGGTCTCCTCCTGATCCCTTAAGCCTGAATAATATCCCTTCCAAAAATTTTGTCATTAATTACAACTGGATATTCTTGATAGCCATATAAATATCCAGTCCTTTTTGAATCTTAAGTAGTTGGCCACAATGCCTGTCTTCCTGTGGCAAAGAATTCCATAAATTAACGAGTCATTAATGGGACTCTGTGCCTCCAAATGCTGATTAACTGCTTCTTTACTGCAGCATCTGTTCTTGGTCCATGGACTGCCCTGGAATTGCCAGATATACCACATGTGACAGATCAGTTAAGACTAAGGCCTGATCCTACTACTATTGAAATCAATGGCAAAACTCATATTGATTTCAGTAGCACCAGGACGGAGTTTTAAAAGTTTGGTCCAATACTCTTCCTGATTCCCAGGGCTGAGCATGCTACCTCTTTGGCATGCCCACAACGGAAAGGCCTATAGGCTGGACTTCGAAAAGAAATGCATGCCTCCTATATGGCAGTGCAGAGCACTGACCTTTAACAAGTTGTTGTTTGGGCTCCTTTTAAGGTTTTTCATAAATGTTTCTACTAAGGTAGCCGCTGCTGCCATAAGATGGGAGTGTTCCAGACTATCTGGTATGTCTCATCTAAAGTGTTTTCTTTTAATTAAATAAATATTTAAAGGTGGGCCAGGTTTTCAGTGTCCTCTGTTAAGTTCCCTGACATCAGTAGCAATATATGAAGTAAATCTCTAACACTCTACACCAGCAACCTGCCCTGAGCCTCACACACCCTGCAACTATTGCCTTGCGTCAAACTTAGTCCCTACCCAACATCCACCAGCCCCCAAACTTCTGCCAAATCAAAAGCCACCTATGATTTCTTGCTTCAGCCTCCAAAGGGCTGCAAAGAATTGTGGGATTTAGGCAGTTTTGGGGTCCTGGGAGGGAGAAATAGGGTTGAGAAGCAGTGCACTAAATGGTGTTGCCAGACCTGCACTCTCATTACTGCTAGATAAAAATAAACCTGAGTGAGCGGAGGGGCTTAGAAATATTAGAGCATCCTCTTGCCTTCCCATTTAGTTTGTGCAGTATTGCCAAACACCTGTTTGAAGCATTGACCAAAACGTAGAGCAGCTTTGATGCCCCTCAGGAGCCAATAGCTGAGTTAGAAATCATCAGAAATGGCCCTTTGTTTCTAGCAATAAGTTAAAGTAAAGCTAGATGCATGTGCATTAATCAGTGACCGAACAGTCCCTATGCCACAGTTTGTGCCAGAGGCAGACCCTGGACTCCTCCCTGAAATGGTTACCCCTCACCATATCGCATGAAGCAGTTCACGGTGCAGCAGCTGACAGGCTGTGGTTCTGTTACCTTCTCCCCATGAGCTCTGCTTGCTGAGGCTGTTGACCATTGGTCCAGTGTATTATATTGTCCTGTAGGTGCTGCATGATGCCTGTTGAGTCCTTGTAAGACACTGGGCTGAGGGGCTCCACCCCCACAATGGCTGCCAGGAGGCACTTGGGGCCAGCTTGGACACTTGCTGAGGGTTAAGTAGTTTCTAGATACTTCTGGCTGATTTCCTGGACTTCATCATAGCTGTCTCTGCAGCCCACACCAGTGCTGCCCTGTAGTTGGGATTGGCCACCTTAGCCCGGTAGGAATAGTTGTCTCCCTTCATTTTCAGATAAAAGTCCACACCATTGGGATCTTACTCACTGCAGTGCTTCAGCAGGGGGTTGTCAGCAGCCTCCACCCTGCCCACACTGGAGCTGCCAGCTCCTGCTTTATGGCCTCATAGTGGGCCTGTGCTTGCTCTCTGCTTCCCTTCACCCTGTGCTGTGAGTTCTTCAGCTGCTACGAGGCAGAGCGCAGATCCCTTAGCATGAGGTTGTAGGCTTCAGCCAGTAGGAGTCTCTCTCTATGGGTATGTCTACACTACGAAATTAGGTCGAATTTATAGAAGTCGGTTTTTTAGAAATTGTTTTTATATATTCGAGTGTGTGTGTCCCCACACAAAATGCTCTAAGTGCATTAACTCGGCGGAGTGCTTCCACAGTACCAAGGCTAGCGTCGACTTCCGGACTGTTGCACTGTGGGTAGCTATCCCACAGTTCCTGCAGTCTCCGCTGCCCATTGGAATTCTGGGTTGGGATCCCAGTGCTGATGGGGCAAAAAACATTGTCGCGGGTGGTTCTGGGTACATATCATCAGGCCCTCCTACCCTCCCTCCCTCCCTTCCTCTGTGAAAGCAACGGCAGACAATCGTTTTGCGCCTTTTTTCCTGAGTTACCTGTGCAGATGCCATTCCATGGCAAGCATGGACCCCGCTCAACTCACTGTCACCTTATGTCTCCTGGGTGCGGGCAGATGCGGTACTGCATTGCTACACAGCAGCAGCAACCCATTGCCTTGTGGCAGCAGACGGTGCAATAGGCCTGAAAACCATCCTCATTGTGTCCAAGATGCTCCTGGCCGCCTCGGTAAGGTTGGTCAGGAGCACCTGGGCAGACATGGGCACAGGGACTAAATTAGGAGTGACTCGACCAGGTCATTCTCTTTAGTCCTGCAGGCAGTCCTATTGTACCATCTTCTGACGAGCAGCCATGAGATGTGGATGGCTTGCAGTCCTACTGCACCGTCTGCTGCCAGCCAAAGATGTAAAAGATAGATGGAGTGGATCAAAACAAGAAATAGACCAGATTTGTTTTGTATTCATTTGCTCCTCCCTCCCTCCATGAAATCAATGGCCAACAATCGTTTTGGTGAGGTCTGTCAGGGGCACCTTGAAAACTTTAATGGAGATTCAGTCCTGCTTGACATACCAGAGGGAGGGATAGCTTAGTCGGTTGAGCATTGGCCTGCTAAACCCACGGTTTTGAGTTCAATCCTTGAGGGAGCCATTCTGCGTGATAGTTGTTTTTGTTTCTCCTTGATGTAAAGCCACCCCCTTTGTTGATTTTAATTCCCTGTAAGCCATGTCATCAGTCGCCCCTTCCTCCATCAGAGCAATGGCAGACAATCGTTCCGCGCCTTTTTTCTGTGCAGATGCCATACCACGGCAAGCATGGAGCCCGCTCAGATCACTTTGGGAATTAGGAGCACGTTAAACGCTATGCGCATTCTCCAGCAGTATATGCAGCACCAGAACCTGGCAAAGCGAAACCGGGCGAGTAGGCAACGTCAGCGCGGTGACGAGAGTGGTGAGGACATGGACACAGACTTCTCTCAAAGCATGGGCCCTGGCAATGCGGGCATCATGGTGCTAATGGGGCAGGTTCATGCGGTGGAATGCTGATTCTGGACTCGGGAAACATGCACGCTGGTGGGACCGCATAGTGTTGCAGGTCTGGGACGATTCCCAGTGACTGCAAAACTTTTGCATGCATAAGGGCACTTTCATGGAACTTTGTGACTTGCTTTCCCCTGCCCTGAGGCGCAAGAATACCAAGATGAGAGCAGCCCTCACAGTTGAGAAGCGAGTGGCAATAGCCCTGTGGAAGCTTGCAACGCCAGACAGCTACCAGTCAGTTGGGAATCAATTTGGAGTGGTTTCAGAGGAACAGCCGTGTTAGTCTGTATTCACAAAAAGAAAAGGAGTACTTGTGGCACCTTAGAGACTAACCAATTTATTTGAGCATGAGCTTTCGTGAGCTACAGCTCACTTCATCAGATGCATACCGTGGAAACTGCAGCAGACTTTATATACACACAGAGAATATGAAACAATACCTCCTCCCACCCCACTGTCCTGCTGGTAATAGCTTATCTAAAGTGATCAACAGGTGGGCCATTTCCAGCACAAATCCAGGTTTTCTCACCCTCCACCCCCCCACACAAATTCACTCTCCTGCTGGTGCTAGCCCATCCAAAGTGACAACTCTTTACATAATCAAGTCGGGCTATTTCCTGCATAGATCCAGGTTTTCTCACATCCCCTCCACCCCCATACACACACAAACTCACTCTCCTGCTGGTAATAGCTCATCTAAACTGACCACTCTCCAAGTTTAAATCCAAGTTAAACCAGAACATCTGGGGGGGGGGGGGGTAGGAAAAAACAAGAGGAAACAGGCTACCTTGCATAATGACTTAGCCACTCCCAGTCTCTATTTAAGCCTAAATTAATAGTATCCAATTTGCAAATGAATTCCAATTCAGCAGTTTCTCGCTGGAGTCTGGATTTGAAGTTTTTTTGTTTTAAGATAGCGACCTTCATGTCTGTGATTGTGTGACCAGAGAGATTGAAGTGTTCTCCGACTGGTTTATGAATGTTATAATTCTTGACATCTGATTTGTGTCCATTTATTCTTTTACGTAGAGACTGTCCAGTTTGACCAATGTACATGGCAGAGGGGCATTGCTGGCACATGATGGCATATATCACATTGGTGGATGTGCAGGTGAACGAGCCTCTGATAGTGTGGCTGATGTTATTAGGCCCTGTGATGGTATCCCCTGAATAGATATGTGGGCACAATTGGCAACGGGCTTCGTTGCAAGGATAAGTTCCTGGGTTAGTGGTTCTGTTGTGTGGTATGTGGTTGTTGGTGAGTATTTGCTTCAGGTTGCGGGGCTGTCTGTAGGCAAGGACTGGCCTGTCTCCCAAGACTTGTTCATAAACCAGTCGGAGAACACTTCAATCTCTCTGGTCACACAATCACAGACATGAAGGTCGCTATCTTAAAACAAAAAAACTTCAAATCCAGACTCCAGCGAGAAACTGCTGAATTGGAATTCATTTGCAAATTGGATACTATTAATTTAGGCTTAAATAGAGACTGGGAGTGGCTAAGTCATTATGCAAGGTAGCCTGTTTCCTCTTGTTTTTTCCTACCCCCCCACCCCCCAGATGTTCTGGTTTAACTTGGATTTAAACTTGGAGAGTGGTCAGTTTAGATGAGCTATTACCAGCAGGAGAGTGAGTTTGTGTGTGTATGGGGGTGGAGGGGATGTGAGAAAACCTGGATCTATGCAGGAAATAGCCCGACTTGATTATGTAAAGAGTTGTCACTTTGGATGGGCTAGCACCAGCAGGAGAGTGAATTTGTGTGGGGGGGGTGGAGGGTGAGAAAACCTGGATTTGTGCTGGAAATGGCCCACCTGTTGATCACTTTAGATAAGCTATTACCAGCAGGACAGTGGGGTGGGAGGAGGTATTGTTTCATATTCTCTGTGTGTATATAAAGTCTGCTGCAGTTTCCACGGTATGCATCTGATGAAGTGAGCTGTAGCTCACGAAAGCTCATGCTCAAATAAATTGGTTAGTCTCTAAGGTTCCACAAGTACTCCTTTTCAATTTGGAGTGGGCAAATCTACTGTGGGGGCTGCTGTGATGCAAGTAGCCAACGCTATCAAAGATCTGCTGATATCAAGGGTAGTGATCCTGGGAAATGTGCAGGTCATAGTGGATGGCTTTGCTGCAATGGGATTCCCTAACTGTGGTGGGGCCATAGACGGAACGCATATCCCTATCTTGGCACCGGAGCACCAAGCCGCCGAGTACATAAACCGCAAGGGGTACTTTTCAATAGTGCTGCAAGCACTGGTGGATCACAAGGGACGTTTCACCAACATCAATGTGGGATGGCCGGGAAAGATATGTGATGCTCGCATTTTCAGGAACTCTGGTCTGTTTCAAAAGCTGCGGGAAGGGACTTTATTCCCAGACCAGAAAATAACCGTTGGGGATGTTGAAATGCCTATACTTATCCTTGGGGACCCAGCCTACCCCTTAATGTCCTGGCTCATGAAGCCGTATACAGGCAGCCTGGACAGTAGTCAGGAGCTGTTCAACTGCAGGCTCAGCAAGTGCGGAATGGTGGTAGAATGTGCATTTGGATGTTTAAAGGTGCGCTGGTGCAGTTTACTGACTTGGTTAGACCTCAGCAAAACCAATATTCCCACTGTTATTACTGCTTGCTGTGCACTCCACAATATCTGTGAGAGTAAGGGGGAAGATGTTTATGGCGGGGTGGGCAGTTGAGGCAAATCGCCTGGCTGCTGGTTACGCGCAGCCAGACACCAGGGCGGTTAGAAGAGCACAGGAGGGTGCAGTGCGCATCAGAGAAGCTTTGAAAACCAGGCTACGGTGTGAAAGTTCTGTTTGTTTCTCCTTGATGAAACCCCCCACCTCTTAGTTCACTCTACTTCCCTGTAAGCTAACCACCTTCCCCTCCTCCCTTCGATCACCGCTTGCAGAGGCAATAAAGTCATTGTTGCTTCACATTCATGCATTCTTTATTAATTCATCACACAAATAGGGGGATAACTGCCAAGGTAGCCCGGGAGGAGTGGCGGAGGAGGGAAGGACAAGGCCACACAGCACTTTAAAAGTTTAAAACTTATTGAATGCCAGCCTTCTGTTGCTTGGGCAATCCTCTGGGGTGGAGTGGCTGGGTGGCCAGAGGCCCCCCCCACCGCGTTCTTGGGCGTCTAGGTGAGGAGGCTATGGAACTTGGGGAGCAGGGTGGTTGGTTACACAGGGGCTGTAGCAGCAGTCTGTGCTCCTGCTGCCTTTCCTGCAGCTCAGCCATACGCTGGAGCATATTAGTTTGATCCTCCAGCAGCCTCAGCATTGAATCCTGCCTCCTCTCATCACACTGCAGCCACCTTTTAGCTTCAGCCTGCCACTTACTCTCTTCAGCCCGCCACCTCTCCTCCCAGTCATTTTGTGCTTTCCTGCACTCTGACATTGTCTGCCTCCACGCATTCGTCTGTGCTCTGTCAGTGTGGGAGGACAGCATGAGCTCAGAGAACATTTCATCGCAAGTGCATTTTTTTCACCTTCTTATCTTCACCAGCCTCTGGGAAGGAGAAGATCCTGTGATCCTTGAAACACATGCAGCTGGTGGAGAAAAAAAAAGGGACAGTGAGATTTAAAAAGACATTTTATAGAACAATGGGTACACTCTTTCACGGTAAACCTTGCTGTTAACATTACATACATAGCACATGTGCTTTCGTTCCAAGGTCGCATTTTGCCTCCCCCCTCCCCGTGGCTAACAGCAGGGAACATTTCTGTTCAGCCACAGGCAAACAGCCCAGCAGGAACGGGCACCTCTGAATGTCCCCTTAAGAAAAGTACCCTATTTCAACCAGGTGACCATGAATGATATCACTCTCCTGAGGATAACACAGAGGAATAAAGAACGCCAGGAAACATACACTGCAATGCTTTGTTCTACAATGATTCCCAAGTGTGTGTTACTGGTCCGGAGTGGTAAAGTGTCCTACCATGGTGGATGGAATAAGGCTGCCCTCCCCAGAAACCTTTTGCAAAGGCTTTGGGAGTACATCCAGGAGAGCCGCGAATGCCAGGGCAAATTAATCATTAAACATGCTTGCTTTTAAACCATGGATACTATTTTAAACGGTACACTCACCAGAGGTCCCTTCTCTGCCTGGCAGGTCCGGGAGGCAGCCTTGGGTGGGTTCGGGGGGTACTGGCTCCAGGTCCAGGGTGAGAAACAGTTCCTGGCTGTCGGGAAAACTGGTTTCTCCGCGTGCTTGCTGTGAGCTATCTTCCTTGTCCCCAAAACCTGCTTCCGTGTTGCCTCAATCTCCATTGAAGGAATCAAACAACACAGCTGGGGTAGTGGTGGCTGAACCCCCTAAAATGGCATGCAGCTCATCATAGAAGCAGCATGTTTGGGGCTCTGACCCGGAGCAGCCGTTTGACTCTCTGGTTTTCTGTTAGGCTTGCCTCAGCTCCTTCAGTTTCACGCGGCACTGCTTCGGGTCCCTGTTATGGCCTCTGTCCTTCATGCCCTGGGAGATTTTGACAAATGTTTTGGCATTTCGAAAACTGGAACGGAGTTCTAATAACACGGATTCCTCTCCCCATACAGCGATCAGATCCCGTACCTCCCGTTCAGTCCATGCTGGAGCTCTTTTGCGATTCTGGGACTCCATCATGGTCACCTCTGCTGATGAGCTCCGCACTCACCTGCAGCTTGCCATGCTGGCCAAACAGGAAATTGAAATTCAAAAGTTCGCGGTCCTTTTCCTGTCTACCTGGCCAGTGCATCTGTGTTGAGAGTGCTGTCCAGAGCGGTCACAATGGAGCACTCTGGGATAGCTCCTGGAGGTCAATACCGTCTAATTGCGTCCACAATACCCCAAATTCAACCCGGCAAGGCCGATTTCAGCGCTAATCCCCTTGTCGGGGGTGGAGTAAGGAAATCGATTTTAAGAGCCCTTTAAGTCGAAAAAAAGGGCTTCATTGTGTGGACAGGTGCAGGGTTAAATCGATTTAAGGCTGCTAAATTTGACCTCAACTCCTAGTGTGGACCAAGGCTGTGGGAGAGTGGCTCCTTCCATTCTATCACCAGCAGCCATGTCCTTCTGTCTGCCACATTGCTCCATTGCTGCCTGCACCACCCGCTTACACCTCCCCAGCTACAGCAAAGGAAAGGGTCCGGCAGGAGCAATGGCCTGGACCTTGGGCCTACAGAAAGCCCTGCCTGAGTATGGCAGTGGAAGGAAACCCCAAAGATGGAAATGGGCCTCCTGTTCCAGTCCCAGTGTCCTGGTCAGGACAGCAGTGGCCTGTAAGGCCTACTTTCTGCATTCCCCACAGGTCAAGTTATCTCAAAGCAACATACTTGCACCCCTCCCTCTGCTGCCCCTCCCCCCGCCGCATGACGGGGTCTCGCCCCAGGCCAGCTGCGCCCCTCGCTCTGCCGCTCCCCCCCCAAACCCCCCATGGCGGGGTCTCGCCCCGGGCCGGCTGCGCCCCTCGCTCTGCCGCTCCCCTCCCAACCCCCCATGGCGGGGTCGCACCCTGGGCCAGCTGCGCCCCTCGCTCTGCCGCTCCCCCCACCAACCCCCCCATGGCGGGGTCTCGCCCCTCGCTCTGCCGCTCCCCCCCCAACCCCCCTATGGCGGGGTCTCGCCCCTCGCTCTCCCCCAACCCCCCATGGCGGGGTCTCGCCCCTCGCTCTGCCGCTCCCCCCCAACCCCCCCATGGCGGGGTCTCGCCCCCCGCGCCCCTCGCTCTGCCGCTCCCCCCCCAACCCCCCCCATGGCGGGGTCTCGCCCCGGGCCGGCTGCGTGGGGCGATGGGCGGGGTGTCGCGCGGGGCGTCGCCCCGGGATGTCCCGTGTCCGGGGTGGGACCCGCGCTCGCCGCCCGCCGGGAATGGAGCCGGATCCGAGCTTCTCGGGCCGCCGGGCCCTGGTGACCGGGGCGGGCAAAGGTAAGACGGGCCCTGGCTGGGCGGGAGGCCCGGCTCGGATCGGCCCGGCTCTGACCGCCTCTCGCCCCGCAGGAATCGGCCGGGCCGCGGCCCTGGCGCTGAGCGGAGCCGGGGCCCAGGTGGTCGCGCTGAGCCGGACGCAGGCGGACCTGGAGAGCCTGGAGCGGGAGGTAACGGGCCGGGCCCCGCCGAGCGACTGCCCCCGGCCCGGCGCTCCCGCCTCCAACCGCGCTTCCCCCGGGGGCCCGGACACCCCCCAGCGGCCCGGACACCCCCGAGAGTCCCCCCAGCGGCCCGGAAACCCCCCCCCCAGGTGCCATCCTCCCCCCAGCGGCCCGGACACCCCCCACTGGCCCGGACACCCCCTAGGGTCCCCCCAGCGGCCCGGACACCCCCCCCAGGTGCCATCCTCCCCCAGCGGCCCGGACACCCCCCACTGGCCCGGACACCCCCTAGGGTCCCCCCAGCGGCCCGGACACCCCCCCAGGTGCCATCCTCCCCCCAGGGGCCATCCTCCCCCCACTGGCCCGGACACCCCCTAGGGTCCCCCCAGCAGCCCGGACACCCCCCCCAGGTGCCATCCTCCCCCCAGCGGCCCGGACACCCCCCACTGGCCCGGACACCCCCGAGAGTCCCCCCAGCGGCCCGGACACCCCCTAGGGTCCGCCCAGCAGCCCGGACACCCCCCCCAGGCGCCATCCTCTCCCCACTGGCCCGGACACCCCCTAGGGTCCCCCCAGCAGCCCGGACACCCCCCCCAGGTGCCATCCTCTCCCCAGCGGCCCGGACACCCCCCACTGGCCCGGTCCGCCCAGCAGCCCGGACACCCCACCCCCCCCAGGTGCCATCCTCTCCCCAGCGGCCTGGACACCCCCACTGGCCGGACACCCCTAGGGTCCCCCCAGCGGCCCGGACACCCCCCCAGGTGCCATCCTCCCCCCAGCGGCCCGGACACCCCCCACTGGCCCGGACACCCCCTAGGGTCCCCCCAGCGGCCCGGACACCCCCCCAGGTGCCATCCTCCCCCCAGCGGCCCGGACACCCCCCACTGGCCCGGACACCCCCTAGGGTCCCCCCAGCGGCCCGGAAACCCCCCTAGGGTCCGCCCAGCAGCCCGGACACCCCCCCCCAGGTGCCATCCTCCCCCCACCGGCCCGGACACCCCCCACTGGCCCGGACACCCCTATCCCCCACCCCGACACCCCCCAGGTGCCATCCTCCCCCAGCAGCCCGGACACCCCCACTGGCCCGGACACCCCCAATCCCCCGCGGCCCGACACCCCCTAGGGTCCGCCCAGCAGCCCGGACACCCCCCCAGGTGCCATCCTCTCCCCAGCGCCCGGACACCCCCACTGGCCCGGACACCCCCTAGGGTCCCCCCAGCAGCCCGGACACCCCCCCAGGTGCCATCCTCCCCCCAGCGGCCTGGACACCCCCCACTGGCCCGGACACCCCCTAGGGTCCCCCCAGCAGCCCGGACACCCCCCAGGTGCCATCCTCCCCCCAGCGGCCCAGACACCCCCCACTGGCCCGGACACCCCCCCCACCGGCCCGGACACCCCCTAGGGTCCGCCCCAGCAGCCCGGACACCCCCCCCAGGTGCCATCCTCCCCCCACTGGCCCGGACACCCCCCACTGGCCCGGACACCCCCGAGAGTCCCCCCACTGGCCCGGACACCCCCCCCCAGGTGCCATCCTCTCCCCAGCGGCCCGGACACCCCCCACTGGCCCGGACACCCCCGAGGGTCCCCCCCGCGGCCCGGACACCCCCCCAGGTGCCCATCCTCCCCCCAGCGGCCCGGACACCCCCCACTGGCCCGGACACCCCCTAGGGTCCCCCCAGCGGCCCGGACACCCCCCCAGGTGCCATCCTCCCCCCAGCGGCCCGGACACCCCCCACTGGCCCGGACACCCCCGAGAGTCCCCCCAGCGGCCCGGACACCCCCTAGGGTCCGCCCAGCAGCCCGGACACCCCCCCCCCCCAGGTGCCATCCTCCCCCCACTGGCCCGGACACCCCCCACTGGCCCGGACACCCCCTAGGGTCCGCCCAGCAGCCCGGACACCCCCCCCAGGTGCCCTCCTCTCCCCCAGCGGCCCGGACACCCCCCACTGGCCCGGACACCCCCTAGGGTCCGCCCAGCAGCCCGGACACCCCCCCCAGGTGCCATCCTCTCCCCAGCGGCCTGGACACCCCCCACTGGCCCGGACACCCCCTAGGGTCCCCCCAGCGGCCCGGACACCCCCCCAGGTGCCATCCTCCCCCCAGCGGCCCAGACACCCCCCACTGGCCCGGACACCCCCGAGAGTCCCCCCAGCGGCCCGGAAACCCCCCTAGGGTCCGCCCAGCAGCCTGGACACCCCCCCCCCCCAGGTGCCATCCTCTCCCCAGCGGCCCGGACACCCCCCACTGGCCCGGACACCCCCTAGGGTCCCCCCAGCGGCCCGGACACCCCCCAGTCCATCCTCCCCCAGTGGCCGGACACCCCCACTGGCCGGACACCCCTAGGGTCCCCCCAGCGCCCGGACACCCCCCCAGGTGCCATCCTCCCCCCAGCGGCCCGGACACCCCCCACTGCCCCACCCCGAGCCCCCCAGCGGCCGGAAACCCCCCTAGGGTCCGCCCAGCAGCCCGGACACCCCCCCCCCCCCAGGTGCCATCCTCTCCCCACTGGCCCGGACACCCCCTAGGGTCCCCCCAGCGGCCCGGACACCCCCCCAGGTGCCATCCTCCCCCCAGCGGCCCGGACACCCCCCCACTGGCCCGGACACCCCCTAGGGTCCCCCCAGCAGCCCGGACACCCCCCCAGGTGCCATCCTCCCCCCAGCGGCCCAGACACCCCCCACTGGCCCGGAAACCCCCCTAGAGTCCCCCCAGCAGCCCGGAAACCCCCCCCAGGTGCCATCCTCCCCCAGCGGCCCGGACACCCCCCTAGAGTCACCCCAGCCTCCCGGACACCCCTCCAGGTGTCTTCCCTCCACCTTGGTATGGATACCCCCCTTAGGGTCCCCCCAGCGGCCCGCACACCCCCCTACGGTTCCCCCAGGAGCCCAGACACCCCCTTAGGGTTTCCCCTCCAGGTGTCCCGTCCCCCGTCCCCCCCCAGCGGCCCGGACACCCCTCCAGGTCCCTGTCCTCCCCCGCCCCCCCAGTAGCATGGACACCCCTCCAGGTCCCGTCCCCCCCAGCAGCCCAGACATCCCCCAGGGTCCCTGCACTGGCCTGGGCACCCTCTCAGAATCCCCCCAGCAGCCCGGACACCCCCCCCCCACTGGCACGGACAACCCCTAGGGTATCCCCAGCAGCCCGGACACCCCCCACTGGCCCAGGCACCCCCTAGGGTCCTCCCAGCAGTCTGGACACCCCTCCAGGTGTCTTCCCCCACCCCCCAGCGGCCCGGACACCCCCCTCCCAGCGGCCCGGACACCCCCCTAGGGTCCCCCCAGTGGCCCGGATACCCCTCCAGGTGTCATTCCCCCCCCCAGCGGCCAGACACTCCCCCACTGGCCCGGACACCCCCCCTAGGGTCCCCCCAGCAGCCCGGACACCCCCCTAGGGTCCCCCCAGTGGCCCGGATACCCCTCCAGGTGTCATTCCCCCCCCAGCGGCCAGACACTCCCCCACTGGCCCGGACACCCCTCTAGGGTCCCCCAGCAACCCGGACACCCCTCCAGGTCCGTCCCCCCCAGCAGCCCGGACACCCCCGTAGGGTTCCCCCTCCAAGTGTCCCGTTCCCCCCTCCCCAGCGGCCCAGACACCCCCTCACTGGCCCGGACACTCCTCCAGGTCTCGTCCCCCCCAGCAGCCCAGACATCCCCCAGGGTCCCCCCACTGGCCTGGACACCCCCTCAGGATCCCCCCAGCAGCCCAGATACCTTCCACCCTCAGGGGACCCACCCGACCCGGACACCCCCCCTCCAGTCAGGTGGGCCTTCAACCCCCTCCTCCCAGGGGGGTCAGTCCATACACACCCTTCCCTTGTGGGGCCTCCAACCCCCCCATGACCCAGACACCCACCATTCCCTCAAGGGTCCCCCGGGCCCCAACTGTCCTGCTCCAACGACACAGCCTCCGGAGGCCTAACCAACCCACCCTGCCTCAGTGACAGGGGCCCAGATCTCCCTGAGGGCAGTCTCACACCCCAGGGGAGCCTCCTACCCTCCCTGGTGCACTATCATCTTTGGCCCCTCTGCTGTGTCCTCCAGCGTACCGGGATTGAGACACTCTGTGTGGACCTGGGTGATTGGGATGCCACCGAGGCAGCGCTGAGCAAGGTGGGCGCCGTTGACCTGCTGGTAAATAATGCAGCTGTGGCTGTGCTCCAGCCCTTCCTGGAGGTGACCAAGGAGGCCTTCGACAGGTAAGGACTGGCACAAAGCTAATAGCAGCTCCAGGAGCCTGAGCATATGGTAGGGAATGGAGGGAGGCGGGGCAGTACTAAGGGAGAGACTGGGTTCTGCTCTAATAAACACAAGGGCTGCTGGAGACAGAGCCTGTGGTTCTCTCTGGCTCTCCAGTCCCTGCAGCCTGGGGTCAGCACACAGTGGGGATCTGGCCATGTCACACAATAGCCCTCTCTCTCCCTGGTGTAGCGGACCTGCAGAGCCACTGCCCCCACCCCAGGGAGTATGTCAAGGACATTCTGGGGAGTGCCAGGGCACACTTATGCCCCAGCTGTTCTGCAGAACTGAAAGTCAAGGCAACTATCAGAACACTTCTACCCTTTGCCAGGGGCAGAGCTTGCTCATCTGACTGTAGGAAACTAGGTGATGTTCACTCCTCCCTTTGGCAGGCTGGGAGAGAAATAATTCTTTCTGGCAGCACCCAAAGTACTTTTCTCATTTTGGCACACTGGGTATATCTCCACTGGGAAAATGCATTGGGCACAAGGGTCAGTACTGACACAAGGGGAAAAAACCCTACTGAGTCACCCAGACTGCCTCTTACCACTAGGCTAGGGCAGCATAGTCAGAACCAACCCAGAGGGGAGAGTGCCCCCTACTGTTCAACCACACTATTCCCTACAGCCTCTATCCCTAGGTCTCCCATTCAGACATCAGCCTGGCTTCACTTGATGGCCAAGGTATGGAGAGGAAAGAGGATAGGGGAATTCAAGATCTTACCTGGGTGGGAAACAAATTGTTTATTCTTCAGTGCATTCCAACAGCAAAAAATTGTTCTTCAGATGATTCTCTCTGTCATCCCTCTTTCAAACTGGATGTGAGCTCTCGCAGATGTAGAGGTACATTTCCTCCCTTCTTGGAGGAAACACTTTGGTGGGTAGTACCTTATTCCCAAAGTAAAGAAGAAAAGGTTGTGCAAATGTAGCACCCCAAATGATTAACTGATGGCTAGTAGCTGGGGTATGAAACAGCTGGTCACTTGCTAGTCCAGTTACACCGGGCAAAGAAGGTGAAATTCTGGACTGAGGAAGGAGCAGCATCTCATTGAAGCAAATACAAGGAAATGCTGTGAAATATTTTGTAGGTTTCTTTAGTATTTTGAAGCCTTGTAAAGGTTTGCAGGTGTGGTGTCGCATGCCTGTAATCCCAGCTACGTGGGAGGCAGAGGCTGGGGGATCGCTAGGGTTCTGGGCTGCAGTGCGCTACGCCTGGCCAGCAGGTGGCTGAAGGAATGGCTAACACAACACAAGCAGCGTGTTGTGATCAGTACTCTCTCTGTAAGAGCTGATGAATCGACTGGACAAGGTAAAGGTTTGACTGATCTAGGAGGGGCCACTGGCCGAGACACTTCTGTTTAAATTTTAATAAATGTACTCGGTTAGAAGAGGGTCCCATAGGAAACAACTCAAGGAAGTCCTGGTTATGTTCTTTTCTCTGCTACATGGGGGAGGTACTAACTAAACAGCTTATTTCATCTCCTGTGAATGGTCATTGCTGGGTGTATTGCACCTAGGTGCTCTGTAATGCTAATGGGTTGTGTTTAGATAAGACTAGTTCCAAGGGGGTGAACTTCTCTAGCCAGTTGGACTGGAGTTTATACCCAGTTCCTTTCACAGCTGATCAGTGTTTCTGAGGCCCTGGCAGCACCCAGCCTCCCATTTCCGCCCCCCTCCAGAGCTGCCGCGATGTTGTGTTTCTTTTTCTCTGACTTGGACAATTTTTTTTTATAGGTCTTTCGATGTGAATCTTCGGGCCGTGTTTCATGTTTCCCAGGTGAGAAGGGACTGTGAACTGGAGTGGGGTGCAGCCAGAGATAAGCTGACATTTCAGCTTCCCTGAAGCCATGTGTACAATGGAAATAAAAGTCTTCATTAGGAGCCTTGCCTGCGTCTCCGCTCCTTGTGAGGATCCACAAGAGCCTGACCTTGTTTGTGTATGTTAAACAGGCTGTGCTTGGTGTAGCTGATCCTGCTACACCCCCTAGTTCTGACCATGTCTCTTAGTTCAGAGCTGGGAGGCGATTTGGGTAACTGCTCTGGCAAGATCTTCTAATCCCCCAAGAAGGCACCAACAGTCTGGGTTGGATGAGTCCCCACCACTTGTTCTCTGGTGCTGTGTTTCAGATCATTTCCCGGCAGATGATTGCACGAGGGGTGCAAGGAGCGATAGTGAACGTCTCGAGCCAGGCATCTCAGCGGGCTCTACGGGAGCATGCTGTCTACTGTGAGTGTCTCAGCTTCAGCACACTCCACACCTGCCCATTAATCCATTCATGACCTATAGTAGCGGGAAGCCACAAGCACAGGGACCTGGGTTTGGATGCAGTGAATATGTTGACCTAGTTCAAGCCCAGGAATGGGTGCCAGAAACATGTGTGACCCAGCCCAGGTGCTGTGCACTCAGCTTCTTCCTTCTGTTGGGTTTTATTGAAGGTTCTACAAAAAGTGCCTTAGATATGCTGACCAAGGTGATGGCTCTGGAGCTGGGACCCCACAAGGTAAGACCTAGTCTATGCAAGAGAGCAGGGAAGGTGCAATCTCTGAGATGGGGTGGGAGTGAGCAAGTGGAGACAGTTTCTCTCAGGGTAGTTCAGTTACCTAATGTACTGTTGTTGATGACAGATCCGGGTGAACAGCGTGAACCCCACTGTGGTCATGACTGACATGGGGCAAATTAACTGGAGTGAGCCTCAGAAAGCTGCTGCCATGATCAGTCGAATTCCTCTGGGGAAGTTTGCAGGTCAGTGGTGGGGATTTGTTACTGGGGCTGGCTCCATATTCAGCTCATCTGCACCCTTAGTGCTTCCTTCTAATTGGCTGCTCAGCCACGTGTATCTGCCTCTCTCTGGCTAATGCCCTCCAGGCCCAGGAAGAGCAATGATACAGCTCTGCTCAAAGTTTGTGTCAGAGTCCTTGAAGCAGCTGTAGTGTTTCCACTTGGAGCAAGCAAGAACCAGTCAAGGTTCTCCCCTCCTCCAAAAACTTCCCAACGTGGGTTTGTTTTAGGGTGGGTGGGAGACATTTTTACCCTCCTCACCAGCAATAGGATTGAGCGCTGGAGGATAACAACACTCGATGCTATGACCCTGTCATCAGCTAACCATCCATCCTGGGAACACAGCAAGGGCTTCTGAATGCCAAGGGACCGGCCACACTGTCTCATTCACTGCACCAGACACAGCCCAGTGCAGGGAGGGAGAAATCTCTCCCCTCTCAGTTATGTCTCCTTATTGGCCAAGAGGACACAACTGGAAGGCAGAATGATGGCAGGCTCTTGAAAGTGTGTAGGTTTCTTTTCCGGCTGCTAGTGCAATTTGTGGGGTGCCTCAGCTGTTGCGCTCTCTCTGTCCTATTCCAGAGGTAGATGATGTGGTGAACAGCATCCTCTTCCTGCTGAGTGACAAGAGCGCTATGACAACAGGTGTCTCGCTGCTGGTTGATGGGGGTTTTCTCGTCTCCTAGGATGATACATCTGCATTGGCATCCCAAGGAGAGAATCATTCCTTAAATGAGCTGTAGCTCACGAAAGCTCATGCTCAAATAAATGTGTTAGTCTCTAAGGTGCCACAAGTCCTCCTGTTCTTTTTGCAGATACAGACTAACCCAGCTGCTACTCTGAAACCTATTGTTACTAAGTGATTCTAAACATGATGGAGAGACAGTGAGTGACTCAGACCACAAGAGGGGAGGGGTAGACGGATATTAACAGGGTTGGGACCTGTCAGAAAAGTGTGGCAGGTCATTCCACTGTTGAAAGCATAGCTGTTCCCTCCAAAAAGCTGTGCTCTCTGCTCCGAACAAAGCCACCACACTCCTTCATGGAGAATGTTTATTGTACCAAAATAAGAGGTGTTTATCTTGTCACTCTACATGATGATTAGAAACAGGACCTGTCTTTGTTCTGACCCTCTCCCCCAAAAACCTTCAAAAGCTCTCCCTGCTCCATCCAAACCGATAAAGCCCAGCACCATACTCCCAGCAGGAAAGGGAGGGAGTAGCTACCAGACTCCTCACTGCCTCTTTTATGGGTTTTGATAGAAAAAAGAGGCAACAACCTCAGCCCTGCTCTGCAGAGACTGGATGAGGGAGGAGAGGCCCCCTGCGAAACATCCTTCTGCCATGACTGATGGGCAGGGAACAGCACCCAAGGTAGTGCCCTAAAAGGCACTAAGTGCACAGGACTGTTGCACTCACTGCGCTTGACTAGTGATTAGTACTTAATAAAGCTAATAGTAATTCCTTCAGCCTCTGTCTTCTGCTTATTTTCACCACTCCTGGAGTTAGTTATTTGGCTCCCATAAGCCTCTGGCACATCTCCTTAGAGCACCGGTTAGTTAAGTATCACCAGCAATGTGCTGGGGTGAGGAGGCCCCGCTACCCTTCCAGCTGGTTTTGTCATTCACAAACTATCACACAATGGTCCCTACCCCCCCCTTAGGGATTCTTCCCACCTGTCTCCCCCTGTGCGTTGCAAGCAGAGGTGCTTCCATCACAGAATGGGTGTCTTAGCTTCTTCAACTTGAAGTTAAGGAGAGCTGCACCTCACTATCTCAGGGAGCTACCCTGCGCCACGCCCCCTGCTCCTCCCCTAGGGGCTGCACAGCATCCACCTAACCTCCCGCCCCCACTGCCCCTTCACATCAACACTGACGTTAAATCAAAGAGACATTTAAAAAACACTGACTTCGTACATGATGAAGGGCCCCACACATCACAGCCCCCTCCAGAAGCACCCAGTGAACACTCAATCTGTTGGAGGAGGATGACAAGGACATGCTGAGTCAGCACCTCGCCAACATCCTCAGAACACAGTGCACTTCTTGCAAGGCTTCTTCACAGGTGGGGGGCACAACACAGCACGGATAGCTTCGTCAAACACTGTCTTCAAGCCCCGCTGTGTCAGGGCTGAGCACTCAAGATACTTCACTGATCCTGTGGGAAGAGAGATCTGTCTCAACCACTCCAAGCCTAGAAAGACCTGGCTTAGACTGTAAACTCTTTGGAGTGGGGACTAGCTTTTTGTTCCATATTTCTTCACTGCCTACCACAGTAGTGACCTGGTCCACAACTAGGGCTCCCAGGTGTTACGATAAAAAGTCTCCCCTTGGAAATGACAAGCCAGACCCAGTGAGGAGCTCCAGCTCTCGTCAGAATAGGTATCCAAGACTTACCAATCTCCCGTGCCATGGCCAGGCCCTGGGGATAGGTTATGGGGGCCAGTTTCTTATCACGCAACCTTTCAATGGTGTCCTTGTCATCCCTCAAGTCCAGCTTGGTGCCCACCAGGATGATGGGAGTATTAGGACAGTGGTGCCGGACCTCTGGGTACCACTAAAACAGAGTAGTTCACTGAGAACTGTCAGAGACAGTAGGGGAAAGAATCTTGCAGCATAATTAATCAGTTGCTCATTAATTAGGTATATAGTGCCCCAATGCACTATACTGAAATACTAGTAACAGTCAGCACAGAAGACAGTTTTATACGTAGCTCTTAAACCATTTTATAAAGAGAAGTCAATACAACTGGGGAAACTGAGGCACAGAGGGAATGCTGCACAGCAAGTCAGTGGCACAGCTGGGGATAGTAGACAGGTCTCCTGCCCCATTTGCTATCCCATGCTGCCTCCCTTTGCCACATGTTTGTTTCTAGGACGCTCTCTGCTTTATCTAAATCTCAGAAGGCCGGGACATAGCCAAAGGAAGTGTGGCTGATGCGGCTCAGGCACCTCCTCCACTCTGCAGCTGCCTCCTCTCCTCTGGTTTTCATGGGAGGGCTTGACAAAACTCCATTCGAGAGATTTCAGCTTTGTCTCCGAGGGGCAGGGACTGTTGCTTATGCTCATCCAACTATATTGACCTTGAGCTATGCTTGTGCCAAGACCCAGTGCTGCCAATGACAAGATTACATGGTACAGCAGTGGGTCTGTCTGCCCCTCATGAGGGCAAGGGACCTTGCCATTCCTCCTCCCCCCGAAAAAGAAGAAAGCGAGTTACCTTGGCTCGGACATTCTCAAATGAGGCTGGACTCACCAGGGAGAAGCAGATCAAGAAGACATCCTGTGAGGGGACAACAGCATTAACCACTAGGAAAGGATCCAGCAGCAACAGCCAAGGACTAGTGGGGCATCAGTCAGGGACAGTTAGCCCCTACCCCCGCAGAGCACTGGAGAGGGGTAAGGAAAGCCCTCCATTGAAAGACCAAAAATAGATGACATTTCTGTGGGGGCAGCTCCTCAGCTACCAATCAGAGCACCATGCTGTACTCCAGGGGTCGACTACCTATGGCACGCATGCCAAAGACGGCATGCGAGCCGATTTTTAATGGCACGCTGCTGCCTGCTGGGTCCCAGCCGCCGGCCCCGCTCAGCCCGCTGCTGAACCCTGGCTGGCAGCGGGCTGAGCAGGGCCGGCAGCCAGGACCCTGGCAGACAGCAGTGTGCCATTAAAAATCTTGCCCGCCCCGGCCCGCTCTTCTCCGCCCCCCCGCCCCCACGGGGGCAGGGTGAAGAAGCTTGGTCCTGCCGGCTACTGCTGCAGGGCAGGCAAGCTCCCCCCTCCCCCCGCCTCTTCCCCCAGCGTGCTGGATCCCTGCCACCGATCAGCTGATGGCCCTTGCGATGGAGGGGGAGAAGCGGAGCCGCAGCACGCTCCAGGGCAGAGGCAGAGAAGAGGTGGGAACGGGGACTTGGGGAAGGGGGGTGGAATCAGGGCATATCCCCTCCAGCCCCCTGCCATGAGCCACTCTAGGCAGGGGGCTGGGAGCACGCCCACGACCCTAGCCCACACCCCAGCCCTCTGCCCTGACCCCTGCACCCCACCACGATCCCAGCCCTGACTCCAGCACCCCCCACAGATACCCAGCTGCTGCCCTGACTCCTGCACCCCCCACACATACCCAGCCCCCCACAACCTATAGCTCTGACTCTTGCACCCCCCACATTCCCACCCCCATCCCTCGCACAAAACAGGAGCACCTGCACCCCTCGCACCAAATGGGAGCTGCCCAGGTAAGCACTCCACACCCAAACCTCCTGCCCCAACCCTGACCCCCTCCCTCATGCTAGCTCCTGGCCAGACCCTACATCCCAACCTGCTCCTTCACCCCCAGCCCTGTGCTCAGTGCACTCCCACCCTCAGCTCAGTGCAGAGAGAGAGAGGAAGAGAATGGCCTAGAACCAGGGAGAAGGTAGGTACCCACCCTATGTGGGCAGGGCTGGGACCCCAGACCGGCAGCGGGCTGAGCCGCTCTGCCCACTGCCAGTCTGGGGTTCTGGCTGCCGGTCCCTTGCCAGCTGGGGTCCCGGCCGCAGGCCCCGCTCAGCCTGCTGCCAGCCTAGGTGAACGGAACCCCAGGCTGGCAGCAGGCTCAGCGGGCCGGCGGCGTAAGATCAGCATTTTAATTTAATTTTAAATGAAGCTTCTTAAACATTCTGAAAACCTTGTTTACTTTACATACGACAATAGTTTAGTTATATAATATACAGACTTATCGAGAGAGACCTTCTAAAAAACGTTAATATGTATGACTGGCACGCGAAACCTTAAATTACAGTGAATAAATGAAGACTCGGCACACCACTTCTGAAAAGTTGCCGACCCCTGCTGTACTTAATTTCCCTCTCTCCTCCACATGCCCCCCAGCACATTAGTGGTCTGCAAATGCCCCAAAACAAACTGTAGGCTTTTGCACTTCAAATGGCCCCCAGAAAGCAGCAGGAATCACCTGTTCTCTTTATCATACAGGACCTCAAGGTAGCATCTCCAGTGATGCAAACACAAACTCCCAGCTTCAGAAACTGGGAACCTGTCAAAGAGAAGCAAAGGGTGTACCCAGAGACCACCCCGCCCACAATGCAGGGAGCAGAACGAGGCCAGCCCAGGCTGTTCACTCACCGTCTGAGGGTAGGAGAGGGGCCGCAGTCGGTCATAGTCCTCTTGTCCTGCTGTATCCCAGAGACCCAGGTTCACTGGCTTCCCATCCACCATGACATTGGCAGAGTAATTATCAAACCTGCCACAGGAAGAATCCCTGTTACTGACAACAAGGGAACCCATTACAAGAACACAATCCCAGGGTGGGGTAGAAGGGAATTGTCCAGGGCTTAATTTGTAATGAAAGGTGTGGGGGCTCAGGGAATAAGGTGCTGGGGCTCAAGTAATTTTTTTACATTCATAATTGATTCAGCAAGCCCAGAGGTGCCAGGGCTCTGAACTGCCAAACCCAGAGGTGCTGGGGCTCAGCCCCGGCAAGCCCTGGCACAAAATAAGCCCTGGAATCATCACATGATAATAATTCGCACCCCCACACCCCTCTTAACAACTGTGCAAAGAGCACAGTGCCAATACTCACACAGTGGGGATATACTCTCCAGGGAAGGCATTAGTGGTGTAACTGATCAGCAGGCAGGTCTTCCCTACAGCCCTGCAGAGGGGGAAAGGGCAGAGCATGATGCGGATGAATGGGAGAGTCCACGGGAGAAAAGGGTACAAGCAGCAAGTTGGAGCTTTAGTCAGTGAAAAGGCAGAAGTGTGCTGCCCAGAATCTCCAGCACTCTCGGGGTCCGGGACCAGGCCTGAACATACCAAGCGCTGTGTCCTTGCATACATCTGACCATGTTCCAACAGGGAGCTATTCCTGACTAGAGCACCACTTTCAAAGATTGCTACCTCACGCTCAAACGTGTTTATTGGCATAACCAGGGACATGTGGTGACACCAGCCTCCAAGGCTCTGGCCCAAGCAGCTACAGCATCCAGGCCCCAACCAGAATGGGGCTTTAAATCATGTGACTTCCCATTACTGCCTTCCTCAACAAAACACTTCGCGCTGGCCAAGGGTCAACTTTTCCTTGTTGCTCCTTTATGGAAAGCATTTCTGATAAGTCAAGGCAGGCACGCTGGAACAATGTGTATAATGCAGGGATGGGCAAACTTTTTGGCCCGAGGGCCACATCGGGGTATCAAAATGTACGAAGGGCGAGGTAAGGAAGGCTGTGCCTCCCTAAACAGCCTGGCCCCCGCCCCCTATCCGCCCCCTTCAGAACCCCTGACCCATCCAACCCCCCTGCTCCTTGTCCCCTGACTGCCCCCGCCTGGGACCCCTGCCCCTAACCGCCCCCTGGGACCCCACCTCCTATCTACCCCTCCCCCCTCTTCCCTGCCCCCCCCCCAAACCTCCACCCCATCCAACCGCCACCTGCTCCCTGTCCCCTGACTTCCCCCCGGACCTCCTGCCCCTTATCCAA